TTAACAGCAACATTACAAAATACTCCACCGACAATTCCAAATACTATAGCTGATGCCGGTTTAATATAACCACTTCCTGGAGTTACGCAGACCAATCCTGCTATAGCTCCCGAACAAAATCCTAAAGCTGATAGTTTCTTTTCTAATCTATAATCTAGTAACATCCATGTTATTCCACCCACGGATGCCGCTAAATTGCTAGAAGTAATTGCCAATACTGATCTTAAATTAGCTGAATAAGCGGAACCTCCATTAAATCCAAACCATCCAAACCATAACATTGTAGTACCTAATACAACATTTGCTACATTATGTGGTTTAAATTCATCGGTACCATGTCCGTGCCTTTTTCCTAACACTATACAGTATGCTAACGCTGCTGCTCCAGATGTTATATGCACTGGTGTGCCTCCGGCAAAATCCAATCCACCTAATTGTGCATACCACCCATTCTTTGACCAAGACCATGATGCAATCACATCGTATACTAGTGTCGTCCATATAAATATAAATATCAACATTGGAACTACTCTTGCTCTTTCGGCTGCTGCGCCGATTGCTAATGCTGGCGTAACTGCTGCAAACATTCCTTGATAAATTGCGTATACGGTATCCGGAATCCTTGGATTTGCGAAAGAAGGTTCGCCTTTAAGATTTAGGAAAAACGCGTTATCTACATTACCTATAAAGCTACCTCCTTTCGTACTAAATGTTAGAGAGTAACCTATGACAAACCACTAAAGAGGAAATTATGCCATGTTAGATAAGTTATACCCAAATTTATGCATAGGTTGACATGATATTCTTACCTGTATAGAAACAACGGCAACACAAAGGACACAAAGTAAAATAAGAGAAAGTGCATTTTTACTTCTTGCCATGCCACTATAAAAATAACCTATGCCGGGAACCTTATTTATTTAAGGTCAAAAAAATTAGCGCAATTCTTTATATAAATTCGAATAAGGTTTTCGAATATATTATAAAAAAGAGTGAAATTTACCATAAGCCATACTTGTGCAGTACAAATTAACATCCATGCTATATCCCCCGGAAAATATCGATTGTCTACTAATGTAGTTGGTTCGGCCGGTTCGGCCATTTATCATTAATGAAATAGTAGGGGAGGATTATGTATTTAAAGAAAGTAAATAATTTAGATAAATTATTTACTTTTGACTTTATTTATAATAAAATTATTTCGGTAAAATTGTGATTTTCTACAGTAATAAATTTACAATTTCAAAAGATAATAATTATAACAGGTTATAAGTTAGCTTTTGATAAGATAATTTTGTTACATTGTATAAAAAAAAAGAAAAGAGAGAAAGAAAAGTAAGAGCTAGTACATCGATAAAATAAATAAATGTTACCTTAATGTTATTTTTAGGGAAAAAATAATGAATGTCCTTATTTTTTTTTTTTTTAAAAAAAAATCGCCTGTATATATATGCTGCTTCTTTTTGTGTAAGCAACATGCATCATTGAAATATAAACAAACAAATGGGGATAACGATTGTATTTTCCGATTAAAGGTAAGTTCAATGAGCGTTTTTCAATAGATATGACAGTTTTAAATAACATAACATTGTGAAATTTCAAGATTATTTCTTTAAACTTTTCTCATATCAATTGTCAATTATGATATGTCTTAGAGAAGTAGTTAATTACTAAATTCAATAAGCTCTATATTTTTTTTCGCATGTCCCAATCGACAGCTAGGTCTCATGTTCGAACAATGACCACATGATTTACCATGAATCCTTTCCTCAAACTAAAATAATTTATTTCAAAAACATAAATAAAAGATATCAATAGATTTCTCTCGATCGATAAGATTTTGTGGAGATAATAACCAATCAAAAGAATATCTTATAATAAAAATATCGTTGAAATAAATACCAATATAAAAAAAAAGGTAACAGGGAAACTAAAGAATGAGATAGGAAAAAACCGAAATAACAGTTTATTTTAAACGTATAAAGAAAATTTCGAACAATTATTCCACGTTTTTAGGATGTTACCAGGTTAAGTGTGTACGATCCTCGTAATATACAATTAATAAAATTAGTAAGATCGTTAATAATATCATCATCGGGGTTTACCGTTAATTACAATAAAGGAAATTAATTCAATATCTATAACGAATCGTTTTTGGAGGTATTTTGCTAAATTAAGATTTAATATAAACTGTTGGTATGGTGGGTATCATAACATTGACGCATGGTTACAAAATTTAACTTTTGAAAGTTCTACGCTTAGATCCAATCCTGTTCTTTAATTTCATAAATTGGTTTCTAAGATAATCAAGATCGTTTGTGTCTTGGAAAAAGTATAAAATATTCTACATATTTTTTGAGTGATACGAAAAGGTGTGGAGTCCCGTAAAGATGATGAGTAGTGTACATCATCTCATGTGACATTTACAAGTGATGAATAAGATTAACCGGAAGTGGTTATATTAAACCGGCATCAGCTATAGTATTTGGAATTGTCGGTGGAGTATTTTGTAATGTTGCTGTTAA